ATTTTCCATGACTCATTTACAGCCACAACCATGCGGACCAAAGCCTGGGTAGCCAACGTGTTGTCAATTTCTCCAGTACCAATGTTCACGTAGCCATGAAACTGGTCCCCTGCAAATTCAGTCATCTTGTGAATATACATTTCATCCATCATTAGGGCACATACTGTTTCTTTTCCTCTCTCTTTATTCTCCTCTACATGACATTTCAGCGCTGTGAAAGATGCCACAGTAAATCCAGGATCAGCTGATATGCTGCTGTACCAATTCCGAATGGTGTGACTGTGTGGCAGCGCTTTCTGAAAATTGTCACGCACGTAATCATATGCCTTTGGGGAATAAAAATGCAAGGTTGTGGCAAACTGCTTCAACTCCTCTGAGTACTTTGCTGTTTTATTCCCCTGCTGTATTTTCAACAAGATGTGCTTTGGCACTTCATCAATTGACTCAAGCAAAGAAGCACATTCATTGGATATCAACAGCTTCTTCTTGAGTTCTGTGACGACATCCTTTAAGGTGGAGATTTTGATTTTTAAACGCCTACACTTTTGGGATTCAATTTTAAGCTTTTTCATGTATTTTTGTAGAATTTGGTTAGTGGCCTGATTTTTCCATTTTAAAGATCTCGGAGACGCAAGGTTGTAGCTGTGATCCTCTTTAATAAAATTAGGAGTTTCATGTGTGGAGCTTAAAGTTGCATAACTATGATCCTCATTAATATCCACCGTTACAGCAGTGTCAACTTGACATAGGTCATTACTAACTGAGAAGTTGCCAATAGCATGTTCAGTCAAGGTGGCATTGCTGTAATCAGCAGCTGAGTGCACGCTAAGAGACTTGTCAACTGGAGAATCCTTTTTACTGTGTCCTGCATCTTTGCTGAACAACAGAGAGGAGCCACTTACCTCAGAATTCTTATTCGCAAAAGTCTTGTGTCTTACCCCTACACAAGAGGATTTCACCAGATGACCAGGAAATGAGAATATAGTTGGAACTGCTGTACTTTTAAGACGCTGATTCCCCTAAAGAAAAAACAAAATAAAAAACAAAAATGAGGAAAGAAAAAAATCGACGTCTTTCAATAAACACAAATCTAGATGAGTCTGAAAAGTTTTCTTTTCTAATCTACTATTTTGAGTATGTTAGCCTGCATTATTAAAGTATATGAATAATTAAATTCATATACTTTAATAAATTGACAACAAGGATGCTGACAAAATGCTTTCCATTATCCAGTAAGAATAATGATTAAAATTCAGATTAAGATTAAAGCAGATTAAAATGTAACATTAATTGAATTTAAAATAAAGTGCATATTCCAGTACTAAGCTGTGTATTAAACATATTCATATATCTGACAAGCACTCTAGTTCTCTACAATCGCTGTGACAGTTTTTTCAATACATTTAACAAGTTTCCAAAACTCTTAACACAATTAGCACAACATCCGTCTTTGTAGGCTAAAAAAATAATCTTTTTGCTTTGATACAAAATGCATCCAGTTAACACTAATTTCAAATGCTTGAACTTCTTTTACAAACAAGCTCAACCAAGACCAAAGCAATGTAATGTTACAGTCAAATTTACAAATACCTTCACACTGTATGTCAGAACAGATAACATGTTCTAAACATAACTTCTATAGGCTAAAGTCAAAGTGAATAGCTGTTCATGTTGTGTATTGAAACACAAATATATTGACTGCATTTTCTTCCATCGTCCATGAGAAACAGGTTGTTGCAGTTATGCAAATACCTAAATCACAGCATATTTCCATCAAGGAACCACACTCATGATCATAAATATGTTCTTTGGGCTGAACTTGAGTGGAAAAAGAACAACAAAAGAATTCATCCCATGCCTTGCCAGAGAACATATCAGGTGTGATGTGGATGAGAACATGTGACCAAATGCAGAAGATTACTTTTTTATTGTTATTGTTATTGTGGTGCTTTTTCTGTTTGTACATCTTGTATGTCTTTTTGCAAATAAAGTTTGTACTGCAGCAATTCTGTGTCTTTTAAGTTTTATTTATTTTTACATAAACTGTACATTTTATAAAGCTACTCTGATATGGTCATTTATTTTTTTGTATTGAATTTCAGGAGCAAAAGAAAATACACGCATTTACTAAACCCAGCAAAACAAAAATGTAAAGAGGGGTCAAACATAGGGGGCAGACCTGACACAAAACAATGCAGTTTCCATAATTTCAGCAGATGATAGTTTTATTTATTTATTTAGATATTTTATTTTATTTTTTGTCAATGTGTTATGAATGATTAAATTTTCCTGTTGGACGAGAACATGTTTTAGTCTTTTGAGTAATTATATAATTTTAAAACAAGTTTGCAGTGTTGTGTTAGTTTATTATTGTATTTTGAACATTAGTTTTGTGGTTTAGTTTATGATGTGTGATTTTGAGCATGAAATAAACTGTTTAGTCAGTTGTGTGTTTTAGGTATATTGCTGCGTTAAGAGTTTAAGAAACTTGGTAAATGTACTAAAAAAAACTGTCATATCCATTGTAAAAACTGTAAATGCTTACTTGAGATAATCTTTAGACATTTAAATATGCTGTTTATTTTGTTAATTGAGCTAAATTGGCAGCTTAATTAACAATCAGCAAGATTTAAAATCTACAGCTCAATTATTCTGCAGATTTTTTTTTTTACCTTCAAATCCTTGGTGAAAGCATGCTCTTCAAAATGAGCACTGCAAAGACAGGATGAAGTTGTTGGTTTCCAGCCGTTGCGTCTCAAGTTCACCACCCATTGTTTCAATCTTGCTGCATCATGCCTACCTAAAGGAAAACTACAAAACATATGCAGCTACTATCACAGTTTCATTTAGCTGCCTTTGACAATTTTATATTCATGTTTTGTTTTTTTGACATCGTTTTATAAACTTAAAGGAATCAATAAAGTTTGTATGGAAATATAGTTCTCAGAAGCAGAGGTGAATAAAAATATATAAATATCATGTGATTTAAACAATGTCTTAATTACTTACAAATGGGAATTTACAGCTATTTGGATGTGTATTTTATGAAGGCTAAAACAAATACATTTTACTAAATAAATAAACGGATAACTAACGTCTCCATACGTTAAGATAAGCTTTTAACAGTGCATGGTAGTTAATGAGTTTTAACGTTAAATACATTTGAAATAGTATACACTATATACAGTTCTACCTGTTATATATGTTTTAGAATGTTGTTTCAAAGCAATACAATTTTTTGACAATTGACAAAAATAGACAATTCGGTAGATAAAATTAACATGCCACTATTGTTAAATATCAGGAATGGTTCTGCCATTTTAAATCAAGTTCAACTAATGTTACCGTTACAGTAGACTGCTGTATACAGTGCTCTAACTAATCAGAGCAGGATAACTTCAGTTTTATCTCCCGAATTATAATTGTATACCCATAAAAATATTTAGTAGCTTGCACATACAGAGGCCCATCATGTCTAATGCTAGGCGTTATCTTAGCTAACGCTAATAATACATACAGGTATTAGCCTACCTTAACTTAGCTCACATTTAAAAAAACTCAGTGATCCATCAGATCCTGAAGGCCGGTTAGAACAGTTTACTGCTGAACAACTCATATTTTCGCAGTGAAATAACACAGTAATCGATGATTATTAGTTCGCTATATCTTTAATCCTGCTTCAATCTCCCCCTGAAGCGCCGACGATCCGCTCAGAGAAGCTGTCAATCACAAATGTCAATCATGATGACACGCCCCATTTTTTTAGCATCAAATTACTTGGTTAAAAAACATACTGACTGCAAAAATTAAGATTTGCACCTATAGCAGCATGATAACAACTGCCTTAAATGATCAAGACCATCTTTCAGGACAGTTTAATTTCAAGTGAATTTTTTTTTTTTTTTTTAGGCCTCAAGTCTCCTTCATTAACACTGAGGAGGCGGGCTTTATTACTTGTACTGCAGCTAGCCCCCAGGGGGCGATCTAACGTCCGAGACCTTCACTCAAAGGCAGGCTTGCGGCACATTTGGTGTCTAGTAAACAGAAGATCCGGAGTCCGAATCCCAGAAATGTCTTGCCAACTCTGTGTTCATTTCTTGTTCTGAGACTGAATGAGGACAAATGTATCTTGCTGTAGGCTGTTGTGGCTTAGCTGGTTTTTGTGCTTCTATTACAAAGTTAAATGAAATGAATCATGAAATTATATAACTTTGAGGCGTAATGTATAGAGCAACAGATAGAGTTAAACAACCTCTTTTGCGGTCACTTCAAGACATGCTGTCTTTTGTTCTTTTGTTCTGGCTCTTTGTGCGTATTACGCCCCAAGTCTAGGGGAAACGAAAAGGGCATAATAAACGAAGAACAAACAAATGTGTTGGGGTGGTGGATTTCCCAAACTAAACAAAACTTATCGCAAAAGATTCCCTTCGGTCGACAACCAAACTCACACACTCAATTGAGAGTATATATGAAGATATTTATTATAGAAAAATAGGGTTTATATAAACAAGCATTTCGTCAGGGTGACCACAGGCCAAAATAACAAACAAAAGAATCTATAAAATAAATCCACTAAATTACCCATTACTATTTAAAGAAACATACAAGAATCTTACCTGACTCCCTAATATAAACAAAGTCAAAAGTAATCAAATAAATAGGCAGGTCACCCCTACACGCTCAAACTCTCAATAAATATTCAAGCATAGGATGGTCATCAATACAAAGGTGATTATTGTTGGTCGTCGGCCGAAGGGGTGAGGGAAACCCAGGAGCTCCACTCCAAACACCGAATGCAGCAGAAATGAGCTCCCCGATTCCTGCCGGAAGCTCCCTTTTATACAGGCCTCGTAGACCAGCAGCCAATCAGAGCAGGGAATCACGCCGGCGTGGGAGCCTATAAGACATCAGAAAAACAGCAAGGAGGCGGGACAAAAGAAAATGGAGTACAATCCGCAATAATAAAAATAAATAAATAAACTTCAGTCGTAACACTGACATATTGAAACCATGTTTTATCTACAAATGTGCTTTGTGTTCATACAACATGTTCAAAGCAGTTCAGGTTTACTTGATTGGATTAGATGCATAAAGGGTGCCACGATTAAATCATGTTCATTCAACAATTTTTTTTTTTGAGAGCACAAATACAGACACTTTCACATGCACACACTCACGCACACACACGCACACACACACGCACACACACACACACTGCTGCTGACTGCTCCTGTAGAGGATTCTGGGTAAATCTCTCATCAGTCTTCAGCTCAGTTTCACTGATGATCCAGGATAATAAAGCTCAAACCCAGGATAGAGCGGCTCAGTGAATGTGGTCTGGACTGAGTGGATGAGGCTCATTGTGTCTCTATAGATGTTGTAGAAGATCAGAGTTCCTGCACTGTGATCCACAAACACTCCTATTCTCCTGCTGAGCGCCTTCACTGGGAGATCAGTGCGTGTGTGATTGTGTCTGAATGAGAATCTGGAGGAAGAGCAGATCAAACTCCAGGACTGAGCATTATATCCAAACACAACCTCAGCACCTGTTCCCTTCCTCCTGATGCTCTTATATGACACTGATATACACACTTCTTCTCCACTCCAGTTAATCTCCCAGTAACAGCGTCCACACACACTCTCTCTGCACAACACCTGAGGCCATGCATCAAATCTGTGTGGATGATCAGGATACGGCTGATTCTCTCTCACACTCTTCACCTCTCTGTTCTCTTCAGACAGAATGAGTTGAGTGTGTGCTGTGTTTGGATCCAGAGTGAGGAAACAGACATCTGAACACAAGAACACACACATGTATAACCACAGCTGTGTGTGTGTGTGTGAGAGAGAGAGTGTGTATGCGCATTTGTGTGTGTGTGTGTGTGACAGAGGGAGTGTGTGTGTGTGTGTGTGTGCGTGCAAGCGGGCGTGTGTGTTGTGTGTGTGTGTGTCCATGTGTTCACTGCTGTGTGTGTGTGTGCATGTGTTCACTGCTGTGTGTGTGTGTGTGAGCGTGAGAGAGAGAGGAAGTGTGTGTGTGAGAGAGTGAGTGTGTGTGTCTGTGTGTGAGAGAGGGTGCATGCATGTGTGCGAGTGTGTGTGTGTATGTCTGATTGTGTGTGTGCGTGTGAGAGAGAGGGTGTGTGAGAGAGTGAGTGTCTGTGTGTGTGAGAGAGGGTGTGTG